GCCTCTGTTTAACGCAACAGTAAAATGTGTACTTGGATGAAAAAACGATTCTTCGCGGTGGAGATCGTATTCCAGGGACCTGCCCGAAACGCTACGCGTACTAGTGGCTGTACAAGAATGTAACAACTCTTGTACATATCTCGAAAAAAAAAAAAAAAAAAAAAAAAAAAAAAAAAAAAAAAAAAAAAAAAAAAAAAAAAAAAAAAAAAAAAAAAAAAAAAAAAAAAAAAAAAAAAAAAAAAAAAAAAAAAAAAAAAAAAAAAAAAATATATATATATATATATATATATATATATATATATAATATATATATATATATATATATATATATATATATATATATATATATATCCTTGTTGTAATAGGTGTTGTTATTTTATGTCAGGAGAGGTTGTGTTGTGGTAGGTTAGGTTAGGTTGTATTAAGTTAGATTAGGTTGTATTAGGTAAGGTTAGGTTCATAAATCAGTAATGGCTCAAATTAAAAAATATATATTCATATTAAATTGTCCCTTTTATTTATTTCCATCTGAAGGTAAGGTAATTATTAAGAGCAAGAACTGTCAGTATATCTTTATAGCACTAAGAAGATTTAAAAGGATTAGAATAGGGCGGAATAAAGGAGTAGTGCCCAACAAATAGTCGGGGATTGAACGCGGGTCTGCAAGAAGCATGACTGTTGCTGTATCATCCAGTCCAAGTGGATGGGTACCTCCGTCTAGAATAAAGAAGAACATATTATAGAGAAGATTCATGTTAAATCATTAATTTATCATTAATCATTATGATCATTAATATTAATCATTAATCATTAATGAACCCTGAGAGTGAGAGAACCCTGTAGAGAGAACCCGTCCGCCTCTCAACTGTCAATCAGTCAACTGTTACTATTAACTTTTTTCACACACACACACACACACACACACACACACACACACACACACACACACACACACACACACACACACACACACACACACACACACACACACACACCCAGGAAGCAGCCCGTAACAGCTGTGTATACTCTCAGGTACCTATTTACTGCTAGGTAACGGGTGCATCAGGGTGAAAGAAACTTTGCCCAATTGTTTCTGCCTTGTGCGGGAATCGAACCCGGGCCACAGGATTACGAGTCCCGCGTGCTGTCCACTAAGCTACCAGACCCCCCAGAGTGTGTGTGTGTGTACTCACCTAGTTGTACTCACCTAATTGTGCTTGCGGGGGTTGAGCTCTGGCTGTTTGGTCCCGCCTCTCAACTGTCAATCAACTGGTGTACAGACTTCTGAGCCTACTGGGCTCTATCATATCTACTTTTGAAGCTGTATATGGAGTCAGCCTCCACCACATCACTGCCTAATGCATTCCACCTGTTAACTACTCTGACACTGAAAAAGTTCTTTCTTACGTCCCTGTGGCTCATTTGGGAACTAAGTCTCCACCTGTGTCCCCTTGTTCTCGTACCACCCTTATTAAAAAGTTAATCCTTATCTACCCTGTCAATTCCTCTGAGAATTTTGTAGGTAGTGATCATGTCTCCCCTTACTCCTCTGTCTTCCAGTGTCATGAGGAGCATCTCACGCAGCCTTTCCGAGCAACTCTTGCCTCCTGATTGTGGGACTAGCCTAGTGGCATACCTCTGAACTTTTTCCAGCTTCGTCTTGTGCTTGACAAGGTACGGGCTCCATGCTGGGGCCGCATACTCCAGGATTGGTCTTACATATGTGGTGAACAAGATTCTGAATGATTCCTTACACAGGTTCCTGAACGCTGTTCTGATGTTAGCCAGTCTCGCATATGCCGCTGACGTTATTCTCTTTATGTGGGCTTCAGGAGACAAGTTTGGTGTGATATCAACTCCTAGATCTTTCTCTCTGTCTGTTTCATGAAGTAATACATTTCCCATTCTGTATCCTGTGTCTGGCCTTCAGTTTCCACTGCCTAGTTGCATTACCTTGCATTTACTCGGGTTGGGCTTTATTAGCCATTTGTTGGACTATTCATTCAGTCTGTCTAGGTCATCTTGTAGCCTCCTACTATCATCCTTTGTTTTAATCCTCCTCATAATTTTTGCATCATTAGCAAACAATGAGAGGAACGATTCTATACCCTCTGGGAGATCATTTACATACATCAGAAACAGTATAGGTCCAAGGACTGAACCCTGCGGGACTCCACTCGTAACGTCTCGCCAATCTAAGACCTCACCCCTCACACTGACTCTGTCTTCTGTAGGTTAGGTTCTCACTTATCCAATAGAGTACCTTCCCTTTCACTCCAGCCTGCATTTCCAGCTTTTCACTAGCCTCTTGTGTGGTACTTTGTCAAAGGTTTTCTGGCAATCCAAAAATATGCTGTCTGCCCACTCCCCTCTCTCTTGCCTGGTCGTAGAATTCAATTAATCCTGTGAGGCACGTCCTGCCATCCCTAAACCCATGTTGATGCTGTGTTAAAAATGTCTTTAGTTCCAGATGTTCCCCTAGCTTTTTTTCGCACAATCTTCTTCATCAGCTTGCATGGTATGCAAGTTAGAGACACTGGCATGTAGTTCAGTGCCTCCTGTCTATCCCCTTTCTTGTATATCGGGACTACGTTAGCTGCTTTCCAAATTTTTGGCAGTTCCCCTGTTACCAGTGAACTGTTATACACTATGGAGGGTGGCAGGCACAGTTTTTCTGGTCCTTCCCTTAGTATCACTGAGGAGATTCCGTCTGAGCAAATAGCCTTTGTCACATCCAACTCTAGCAATAACTTCCTTACATCCCCACTGGTAGTCTTAAACTCTTCTAGTGGTTCCTGGTTAAATATTCCCTCTTTTATCTCTGAAACTTTCCCTTGCTCTAATGTGAAGACCTCCTGGAATTTCTTATTCAGTTCCTCGCACACTTCCTTATCATTTGTAGTGAATCTGTATACCCATATCCTCATTTTCATTACCTGTTCCGTTACTGTTGTTTTTCACCTGATGTGGCTGTGCAGCAATTTAGATTGAGTCTTTGCCTTGCTTGCGATGTCATTTTCGTATTGCCCTTCTGCCTCTCTTCTCAACTTAACATATTTATTCCTGGCATTCTGGTATCTTTCTCTGCTCTCAAGTGTCCTGTTATTCCTATAGTTTCTCCACGCCCTTTTACTTTGCTGCTTAGCTAGCCTACATCTCTGATTAAACCATGGGTTTCTCATCTGCATTTCACTGTTTTCCTTTTGGACTGGGACAAACTTGTCAGCTGCCTCCTTACACTACTGCGTGATGTAGTCGTGTGCGTGTGTACGTGCGCACGTGCTTACACGCATGTGTATAAATAATTTTTTGACATTGAATAACGTGCTGAATTTTCCAATAATTATTTAAAACAAAATTTGGTATCATTAACCTCAATAAGGATTTTTTTTGCATGTAATGTTGATTTTTTCTGCAATATCCAAAAAATATGTCTCCGAAGGCCAGACAACATTGGAGCCGTGTTATCAAGATTGTTAGCACACAAGACCATCATAGAAGAGGAAGAGGAATCTTCCCCGGCCCCACACCACTTTATTATACCTCTATACCTGTCTCTTCTGTCTGTATGTCTCCACCTGTCTCTTCCCTGTGCTTACTCCCTCCTCTGTCTCTTGCTCAGACATTCTCCAGTCTCGACCCTCCCCGTCACCCCAGACGACCCTCCCCGTCACCCTAGACGACCCTCTCCGTCACCCTAGACGACCCTCTCCGTCACCCTAGACGACCCTCCCCGTCACCCTAGACGACCC